TACTCATCCCACGCTCCTCAGCCACGGCTGCAATGAAAACGGCGTGATGCATAGACACGCGCGCACGAAGACGTGATAGTGATAAGAAAACGGCGCCGAGGAGTATAGACGGCGACGAGGAGTACGTAGCACCCCGCTCTTGCGGATAAGAGTGGGGGAGCGTGCTCCTGGCGGACCTCCTGGCGGCGGACCTCCTGGCCTGCACCTCCTGGCCTGCACTTTTCTCGGCTGCGCGTGGGTCGCGGATGGGTCGCCGGGTGGGTCGCGGGCGGGTCGCGGGTGGATCGCGGGGGGTGGGTCGCGGGTTGGCCGCGGGGCGGGTCGACGGTGGGTCGTTGGGTGGGTCGCGGGGTGGGCCCAGGAAGGCCGAGGGTAAGCCTAGGATATGCCTCAGAAGGCCTACCCTAGGGTAGGCCTAGGGTAGGCCTGGGGTTGGCCGAGGAAAGCTTAGTTCGGCCTTAGGGGAGGCCTGCACTACAGCAGCACGCAAAGAAATATAGATGCAAGAGTACTTGAGACCGCACGAAAGTTTCATTCCAGAGACGCAGCTGACAACCACTCCCTAGGAAGAAGGCTGCCCGCAGAGATCAAGTCATGCACGCGCCGACAAACAAGGGCAGTCTCGGCAGGCGCTGAATGCTTTGTCCCGCCTCAAATGCCAGCTGGGTCCTCAAATGCCCGCCCCCCCTCATTCTTCCCTGGCCCACCTTGCGCTCCACCCCTCCTCCTCCGCCGAGCTCGCAGTCACGCCCTCGCGAGAAAAGGCCCAAACAGAGCGGCGAAATGCTCTGCGTCGACCGCTTCGAGCGCTCTGGACGCGGCGACAAATCCGTCCAGGCGCTGCGACAAAGAAGGGTCCCGCGCGCACCACGTCGGTAACCTCCCTGAAAGGAAATGGGCGTAGTTGTATTTGCAGGAGGCCACCATGGAGAGCACCTCGAACCAGTCCGGGCTGATCTGGGTCCCCGCCGACTGCAAAACGGAAGAGAACCACGCCCAAAACCTCTCGACCGACACGGTGCCGGTCTGGACGGGCACCCCCGCCTCCCGCGCGCTGCGGGCGATCGCCTTCCACTTCCACAGCCCTTCCATTCGCAAGCGTTTGAAGAGTCTCTTAAAATGGGCGCGCATCTTCTTAGTCATGACCGTCGCGCGGCCCGCTACCTGCTCGGATGCGCCCCGCGTTCTCAGTATGCCGGCCCTTCTCCTCGTCCGTCTCTTGCCTTCCATATACCAGCGGAACACTCGACGCATCTCCTTCCTGAATGCCTTCTGGTTGCGGTGCCCCAAGAACCGCGTGCTGTCGCGCCGGGTGGCCCCGCAACGACGAGCCATGCGCGCGCGGACCCCCCTCGGGGGGTGCGCGCCAAACGCCATCTTCCACGCCGCTGCGCCCGCCACGTTCGCCCCCCCAAGAAGGACCTCAGGGCGGCAGCGCCGACTTCGTCCGCCTGCAACTTCCGCTTGAAGGTCTGGACGTCGTCACGGACTCCGCTCCGCAGCAGCTCGAGCCCAGCCTCGGCCAACGCTGGCGGGGCGGCGTCGTCCCGCCGCCCAGGCTCACCCGCTATTCTCATGATGCTGTCTTCGTAATCATACTTGAAATCCTTGGCGTCGTTTGCCCAGTGGCTGCACAGCTTCTTTGCGTTGAGGATCTCGTGGAAGAGGTCGCCCGCGATGGCGGTGGGGCACGGGGCGCTGCCGCCCGCGACTCCGACGGCGCCCCCCTTCGGGGTGGCCGAAACACTCGCCGCTGCCAAATCGGGATGCTTGCTTCTGTAGAAATCCCGCAGGCGCAAGCGATGTTTGCCGCGCGAGTCGGCGCAGTGGATCGCGGGCACCGCGTCGAGCGCATGCGCGCACGCCCCCCCTCTCGCCGCCCGGACGCCGTCGATCAGGGGCCCCAGATCGACGAGGATGTCCTCGATGGCCTCCGTGCGGGACAACGACGGCGGCGCGAGCAGGGCGCCGTCCAATCCAGTCCACGCCAGCACGACGCTAAACGGGTGGGCGCGCTGCCTCGAAGACGGGCCGCGCGCGGGCACCCTGGCCGCGATGCTGTAATTCCCGTCTCCGCGGACAACCTGCCCACTGTAAGCGGAAATCTCTTCCTTCAGAGCCGAGGGGTTGTGCATCGCCGCCGCCTGGGGGGTCGATCTCGCAGCTCCCGCGGGCGATAGATATGGATATCTTCGGGCCCCGGAGGGCCTACATATGAGGCCCCCGACGATCGGCCCCCAAGGCTGCGGCGATGCACAAATCCCCAGCTCGGGTTCCTGGAGGGCGGTGGCGGCATTCTTCAGGAAACCCTTCAGACCTGCGGCCAGAATTGACCGAAGGGCAGCCTCGCTGGGAACGCTGCTCAAGTAGTCGATGCCGCGGGCCCCGACTTGGAGCGCCAAGCAGTTCGCGCTGTAGTACTCGCCCAGGGCCCTCCGCCACTCTCTGATGCTGAGCTTCTCGTAGAAAAACTGGGCCAAATATAACAGGAACCGCTTCGTCATGGTGACTGCTCCGCACTTGCGTCCCTCGTGGCGGAGCGCGCCTGGAAACGCATCCAATACGTCCACGAAGTCGATGGTGAAGTTCGCGCACAGAAGCCCTCGCCCAAAGCAAGTGTCGCATCGACTGGCAGACGTGTCAATCTCAGCCGGCAGCGGCAAATCCAGAACGAAGGTCCTGGCCCTGCTTGGCCTTCGCACAATGACGTGCTGCTCGCCAGCGGCCGACGCCGCCTGGACGTGCTCCCGGAGGCCCCGGGCCGTGATCTGCTGCGCGCGACGGCCCCAACTGAACTGCTGGGGCGCGCTCAAATCGCGGCCTGGGCAAGCCCAAGTCTCAGCCAACCTTCGGCCCGCCCGCGCGCCCCGATCTCGAGTGCGCGGGGGCGCCGCGGCCTCGGCAAGCATCTTCGTGAACTTCAACGAAGCCACCGTGCCGCTGGAAACGCTTCGCCTCAAAGGGCGGAACCAAAGGCCCACCCTGTCCAGATCAGCGCGTTTGCAAGTCAGGACTTCCACGAACCTCGCCAAATAGACCTTCTGCCCGCCATGCTTCTGGACAGCGCAGGGGCGCAATGGCACCGCGTCTGCGAGGGGGGAGCCGCGCCGAGTGAACGTTGAGACAATCCATACAAAGGCGCTGCCTCGCGTGGCGAACAAGCCACTGCGGGGCGCCAGCGCCCCGCGGCTTGGCTGCGGGGGCACGGGGGCGAACGGGCGCATCTGCATCAGGCCGAGCAAGCGGGGCCCAGCGCCCTGCCCGCGGCAAACCGCGCCGCCGACGGCCTGCCTGACGAATTGCGCTGGTCAGCGGCCTGCTCGGGTTGCGGGGCACGCGCAAGTGCACGCGCGGGTCTGGCAGCTTCTTTCGACGGGCGAGCTTTGGCATCGCGCCTGCGCTTCCTGGGCGGCTCATCTGCCGTCTCTGGAAGACGGCGCTCCACCCGACGCCGCGCGGAAGGAGCAGCGGCAGCGCCGACAGCCTGACGGGCACGACCGCAATCGGACCTCTGCTTTCGCGGGGGTCTCACTGCCCATTTCTGGCGCCCCGGCGGTTGGACTGCGGGCGGCGCCGGCTGCCCGGGCACGTGGTCGGGAAAATGGTGGAAGACGCGGTGCAAACCAGTGGCCAAGCTCTCCTGGAGCTGCTCGTGAACGCTTTGCTGCGTGATGTACCAGACGACCCCGGCGGCCCTGACATCAGAGACTGGCTGCTCGAACTCGCAGGCTTCTTCCACAATGCGGCAGAGCGCGTTGGGGGCGCCTGGGGCCCACGGGTTGCGGCCCATCTGATCTGGGCCCACCGCGCGGCCCAGACGGACGCAACCAAATATAGCTGAGCTCGGTAAATCCTCCGGCGCGTCTGGCCAGGCAGCACGCACCTTTCGCAAGTCCTCTGCTTGTGCCACGACGCTTTTGCCGTGCACTGCGTTGGCCCCGACGTGCAAGTAGCGCCACCCCTCTGGCAGCGGGCGTCTGCCCCCCTGTGTCGAACAGGAGCATACTGGATTGAGCCCGCGAAACGTAGCCAAAGCCAGCTGCGGACATTGCACAGTAAAGGTTCTCCATGGTTCCCTGAGTTGGCTGGGCAGCATGGCGACGGCAAGTCCACGACGAACTAAGGAACTGCTAGTGACCGCCAGGGCGGCCGCCTCCTGGCATGACAACTGAGTGGCGCCCTCGGTGAGACTCGAGCCAACTGCCACGGACATGCGATGGGTCATGGGCACGTTGTTCGGCCGACGAAATGCGAATAGTAGATGCCCCGTAGCACCCCGCAAATGAAGATAATAGTGAGGGGGTGGGTCGCCGCGGGGCGGGGCGCGGGCGGGGCGCGGGCCACGGGGGCGGGGGGGGGGCCGCGCGCGGGTCGCGGGGCGGCGCGCGGGGGGGGGGGGGGGGCAACTCCCACTCTCTATCTCTCTCTTTCTCTCTCTCTTCTCTCTCTCTCTCTCTCTCTCTCTCTCTCTCTCTTTCTCTCCCCCTCTCTCTCTCTCTCTCTCTCTATCTCTCTTTTTTCTCTCTCTCTCTCTCTCTCTCTCTCTCTATCTCTCTCTCTCTCTCTCTCTATATATATGTTGTTGTTGTTTTTCTCTCTCTCTCTCTTTCTCTCTCCCTCTCTCTCTATATATATATATATATGTATATCAATATGTCGCCCCCATCGCCACCGCCATTGCGCCAGTGCAGCATGCGCAACCATTCCAATCATTAGGACGGGCGCCAGGAAGGAAAAAGGGAAGCAGCGACCCCGTTGCCCACAGGTGCCCGAAGGGGGGGGGAAGGAGCACCTGTGGAGCAGAGGGGCGAGGGCGAACCCGAGGCTCGCGCAGCAGGAAGGGGGCGTTGTCGATGCCAGCGGCGCACCCAGCCCTAGCTCGTCCGTCAAACATGCAAGAAGCCTAACTCGAGGCTCAATCGCGCGGCCATGGCGGGCGAGAAGGCCACCCGCTCCCACGCGGAACGCTCGCTGCGCCGAAACGAGGTCGCCAGCCCCCCTCACTCGGCGAACTGGTCCTGGTTGAGGCGCAAGGCCCTGATGACGTCGACGGCAGAACTCTCCACCTCGGACCACGGCCTCTTCTTTATCTTCACCACTGGCCAGCCCCCCCTCTTGTTCGGGGCCACCGCCGCCGCCGCTTCGACGTTGACGAGCACGCCGGCGGCCTGGAGCGCCTCCATGGCCTCCTTCAGCGGCCCGCTGGGGCGCTTGATGCCGCGTTCCTTCAACTTCTGCTTCATGCTCACCCGCAAGTCGTTGCGGCACAAGACGCCGTCCTTCGCCTTGCCGTGCGCGAGGATGGCGCGCTGGAGCCACATCTCAGAATTTAGCTGCATCTCGAACTGCTTCATGGTGAAGGGCTCCGCTTGGACCGCCTCGTCAGGGCCAGGCGGCCCGCCGCCGCCAGTGCCGGGTGGGCCCCCGCCGCCAGGGCCCCGCGGCCCGCCGCCGCCAGGGCCCGATGGACCGTGACTGGCGTGCCACTGGTAGAAGCCATGGTGCGTCTCGAGCTGCCGAATCCAATGGTTCACGGCGCAGGCCGCCTCGTGCAAGTTCCACCTGTTCCTCGCCGTTCCAGTCAGCTGCTCCCCGAGCTTGGTGAGGCTGGCGCAGTAGTCCGTGGACCGCATGGCCACGTTGGCGAACTTGTGGATGTCCGTATCCGCGCACTGGAGCTTCTCTATGAAAGCGGCCCCGAGAGGGCGCCGGGGGGGCGGCGACGAAATCGTTCACGGCTCGGACGGCGGCGTCCAGCATCGACGCCGCGAACCCGTTCGGGACGCGCCGCTGGTCGCTCCGCGCGGCGTGCCGGCCCATCCAGCCGAACTGTCCGCGCAAGAACTCCTTGGACCCCTCGCAGCCCTGGCCGACCTCACCCACCGCGGAATTGCACCAGACCTGGTGGGACCTCTTGGAGAAGCCCGTATTCCCCAGGCGCAGGACGTGCTGGGTGACTGGGATCTGGCCCATGACGTAATGCAGGAAGGAGAACTTGTCGAGGTTGTACGCACCGAGCCTGGACATGCTGGTGTCGCGCTCGCCGTTCACCAGCTGCAGCATTTTGGGGCGGCTCGTGAAGGTGATGCCCTTGGTGTTCTCTGACTGCGGCGTCTCGTAGCACATGCTGCGCTGCGCGGTGGAAAGCCCGCTGCGGCCGCGGTTCACGATGCTCATCCTTCTGGCGGAAATCAATTGGGGACGGGGGGGCCTTCCCTGCGCTCACCCTCAGCTTTGCGCCTACCCCGGCCCCGCGCCCAGCGCGGATACATTTGGGAAACGCCGCCCGTCGGCGCCCCCGAACCCACAGGGGGGCCCAAGCGGAATCTCCCCCATAGGTGCTCCCACGGGGGGGGGGGGGGGAGCACCTGTGTACAATTGTTCGGGGGGGGCCGCAGGTGTCCAAGTAGACCACTCGGCCCCCCCGCTAGGGGCGCCGCGAGCCTGCCCCGAAGCCCTTCCCTTGAGCCTACCCGAAACCTAAGTCAAGCCCCTCCTGCACGCCTGCCCTCGGCCAACCCCGATGCCCATCCTCCGGGGCGACGGTAGGCTGACCCTAGGACCGTTATCCTAAGCACGCCCCAAAGTCCTGCGGCCCTTGATCGTGGCGTCGCCCGAGCACGCCCGCCCCTCCCGCAGCAACTCCGGCGCGTCGGGGTGGCTCAGCAGGTACTCGCCTACGAACCGATGCAAGCTCGTCTTGCGAATGGACGGCGGCCCCGCGAAGAAAGCGCCGATCGTGGCAGCCCTAACGTGGTGGGCCTCCTCGGTGTCGCTGAGGCGCGTGCCCTCGTGCTCCGCCCACCCGATCATGACGCAGAGGCCTTGGTGGACTGCCTCTGGCGGCCAGGAATTGGCCGTCGCCACCGCCGCAATGGCCTTGCGATGCGGCAGCGTGGTCAGCTTCGCCATGGAGAACGACGCGTCGCTGCCGATGTCCACGTGGGCCCTGGCGTCCGCGACAATCACTGCCAAAGCCTCCTGCACCGTCTTGTAGACGTTCTCCGCGCCCTCGAGTCCTGGAAGGGCGCGGAAACAGTAGGGGAACGCTGCCGGTGGGTTCGCCCATCGAACCCACTGGCGGCCCCAACGCAACCTCCCCCACGGGTGCTCCAGCGGGGGGGGGGGTCAGCACCTGTGGAAAACAGCCCGCGGAAACTCCCCGCGCGCGTTCGCAAAGACGGTCCGTGGTAGAGGTCGACGGGGTAGATGTACTGCAGCAGATCCTCCTCCGACTCGATCTTGCTGAGCCGCTCCAGCACCTGCGGCATGGGGTCCTGCATGTCCGGCGCCGGCGCCACCTGGGCGTTGTCGAAGAATCGGAAGCCCCAGTGCGGGTGCGTTGCCACGGGAACGAGGCCTCCGCTAGGCGTCCTCGGCGTCGGGGTCGGCTGGGTCTGCGACGGGTCGCCGAGGTCTGGCTGGGCCAGGACGGGCACGATCGTCTGCTCAGCCCCAGCGTCGCTTGCCCCTCCTGGCACCGCCGTCAAGTGATGACGACTCAGCGCGTAAAGCGGCTCCCCGATGACGACGGGGATCTTCGGCATCCCATCGCGGCCCACCAGTGCCTCGGAGCAGGGCTGCTCGGACCAGCGCACGACGCCCTCCTTGCCGTTGAGCCCCTCAAACTCCGTGCCCTGCCAGACCCCTAGCGGAGAGCCTAAGATCTTGACCACCGTGTCATTGCCAAGCCCCGCGGCACGTCCAGGGCGGCCATGCCCCGTGGCCGACGGCCGCATGCACGCCGATACAGCGCGCCAGCCCTCGGTGCCCTGCGCCCCCGGCGGTGGCACCAATGTCAGGAAGCGGCGGCTCAGCATGTAGAGGTTGTCCCCGACGCGGACGGGGGCTCTCGGCAGCCCGTCGCGGTCAAACGTTGCTTTGGCCTCCGGTTGTTCAGACCAACGCACGACGCCCTCCTTGCCGTTCAAGATGCCCGCGAAGCCGGCGCGCAATCCGTCGATCTTCACGATCGAATTCTCCCGGAACTCCCCGATCTCCTCCCTAGGCCAGTCCTCTTCCGCAGGATCGTCTTGTTCCGCTGGCGGCGACGCGTCGGTGTCCGACTCCTCGAGCCGCTCTGCCCCGCGCTCCTGCTCAGCTGGAGGCGCTTGCGGGGCCGCGGGCTCGGCGATGCCTGGCACTTCGGCGATGGAGGTCATGGCCGGCCCGGGCTCGGCGGGACGCGAAGCCCCGTCGCTGGCCATGACCAGCCCTGGTGCCAGTACAAGCGCTGCCTGACCCAACAGGGCGCTTGAGCCAAAGTGGCGCGTGGGGAGCATTTGGCGTCGCTGTGTGGCACGGCCCCCATAGGTGCTCGAGGGGGGGGGGGATTGGGCACCTGTGCGAGACGGGGGCGGGCACCGCTTCTTGAAGCGCGCCCCACTTGCCCCACTTGCCCTACTTGCCCCCAACGGCGTCAGCAACATCACCAGTTTGCGGGGATGCCTCAGGCAAAACGCTCCTCCTCCTGCTCGTCACCGCTGGGGGGGGGCACCTGCGCGACACGGCCCCCATAGGTGCTCCAGGGGGGGGGGGTCGAGCACCTGAGCGAGACCTCGACGGGCACCGCTACTTGAAATGTGCCCCACTTGCCCCACTTGCCCCTCTTGCGCGCAGGCTCGAAGAATTGGGGGGACCACTTGGCCCCCCTTGCCTGGAATTGAAGGCTCCACTTGACCCCCGCTTGCCCCACTTGGGCAAGTGGGGCAAGTGGGGCAAGTGGGGCAAGTGGGACCAAGTGGGGCAAGTGGGGCAAGTAGGGCAAGTGGGGCACATTTCAAATAGCATAACGGAGTTGCATGTCCAATCGACTTCTCGCTGAATGGCGACCTCGTCTCGTCGTTCGTTTTCGAGCGGCACCGTGTCGATTCACTCGTTCGTTGTAAATTTCGGGTTTCGTTTCGTTTCTCGTTTGAAACGCTATTTCGCCTTGAACATCGCTGCGGTCGGTCCTCCTCGATCCCATCCCGATCCTCCCCGACCCTCCTCGATCATCCCCGACCCTCTTTGGCTCTGGCTCGGTGGAAACGCCAGTCAATACCGGAAGCGCCCCGAACAGCGCCACGGGCCGCCATCGCCCGGGCCCGCTCACAGCTTGGAGGTGGGCGGAACACACACCCCCGGCCAAGACGCCAAGAGGGGGGGCCCAGCCGGGAAGGCTGAGGGGGGCCCACGGGGGACCTGCGCAACCAGGGAGGGCAAGAAGAAAGGCACGGCAGAGCCGGCCCCCCGGACACGACCAACAGGAGAAGGGCCCCAGGCCGGGAAGGCCTGGTCGCCCTCATCCAGGGGAGCTGGATGCATTCCCCCGTGGCCCCGGCGCACCGTTAACCGAAGCGCCCCTCCGGGGGCATCCTCCCCGACCCTCCCCGATCCCCGATCCTCCCCGACGCTCCCCGAACCTCTTCGACCATCGACCCTCGCGGGCGCGGGGCAGGGGGCCTGGGGCCCAGCCCTTGGGCCCCCGGGGAGTCGCGCAGAACCCCGGGGGGCAAGCCCCACCAGCCTTCCGGGCGCGAGTGGCCCATGGAGCTCGCGCCGCTGACCCCCCTTCCCCCTGGGGGAGGAGGCCCCCCCCCCCACTCTGACCCCCACCTGGGTCGGGGGGGGGCGCGAGGCGCTGCGCGGCAGTAGGAAAGGTCAGCAGATGGTTTCGCCATGGGCCAGAGTGCGAAAACGGGCGAGCGCTTTGCGCATGTTATCTCTAACTGCAAAACCTGGTCAACAGAAGTGGGACGATGAACCGCTCGTCCAACTTCTTCTAGGTTTAGCTCTCAGAACGGGCACACGTGCGTCGACAAGGGGATGGGCTGGGCCCCCCGGGCCCCGGAACCGAAAAAAACGGCCCGTGCGCCTTCCAGAGAACCGGAAACTGCACAGCGAAGTAACGCAGTGGCAGATTAGGAAGAGACAATTTAAATGGGAAAGACTGGTGGGAGGGAGGAGGGGAAAGGTCGCGAGGGGCCGCGCCGAACCCGCCAAAACTGTCGTCGTCGCTGGCAACGCGCCGGGCACAGTCCTCAAGCTTCACGCAGTGCCTCCGCGTCACATGCTCGGCCCCGCAGGAAAGTATCCGACAGGGGGCCGACTGTGATCTATTCTTGAGATCTGCATCTGCACGGCGACGCTCGACCTCGGACTCCTCGTCGATCAGCACGAGCCGGCCATGAGCCACGAGGTCGAAGAAGGCCGCGCGTTGCACTTGGTCGCGTCGCCCTTCGTCAGTGGATCGACCGGCGCGCGATAGCGCGGCACCCATCGCACTTGACCTCGCGCCCTTTCGCGACTCTCGCACGCGATAGCCGGCCCCAATACGTCAGCCGCCGGCAGCAGCATCCTGTCACATATAGACTTAGCACCGACCACATGCACCTGCCGCCCTCTGCCCCCGAGGGCGCAGTCGCGCCTCGGCACCGCGGCGAATGGCCCCGCCGCCCTCCGACAGTCGGGCACGTCGACGTCTCTGAACACGACGTCTCGGCGCACCTGCAATACTCCACCTCCGCCGCGGCAGCTCACAGATCGAGCGTCTCTCTGGCCAGGGTAGACGGGGCCTTGCGCCTGAGCGTCAAACTTCTCCGGCCCAGGATGGATGCTCGGACCGCGCCATTGCAAGCGATGGCCTGGTCCAACGCCAGACCTACCCACGCCCCCCGAGCGGGGCCCCAGGGAACCCTCTGTCGTCATCGAGACACTCACTGGCGCCCACTCCTCCGGCGCCCGAGAACGAAGCGAAAACCGCGCGATCGGGCCGAGGCTGCAGATGATGAGGCCACGGGAAGCAGTGGCTCGAAGGCGTCGAGCTAGCTTGCTGGCGATCGTCACGTCGCCCGCGGCGGCCGCCTGAAGACGACTGGCCAGGGCGCAGGCCACGCCGGCGGCCTCTGGGCGAGCCTCGCGGCCGGCAAAGCTGAACGTGAAGACGAGCGACCGCAACTCTTTGAACACCGCGGCATCGAGGCGCGATCCCTTCCGCGAGAGGCGCCCCCCCGCCACGGGGAGCGGCTTGATCTCCTCCAGGATGCACTTTCCCATGTCGATCGCAGCCCCGTCTGCGTTCAGGGCGGTGCGCCGCCCGGAATCGACAGGTCCAGCGCGGCAGTCGCGGTGTTTGCCAACCAAACTTGAGCCCGGCCCCCAGCACGTCCCCGAGGCTGGCCTGGGCCTTGGTTCCC